CCCCCCCCACGAGATTAATCAGGCATTTTGGTGTCATAACGTGTACCACAAAGGAGGCACTGTAGAGTCAGTGAAGCGTAACCCAAATGTACACTCGCTTTCATGGTTACGGTACTGTGTGTTTCCATCGTCACAAAATACAACTACTTCTGAAAAATTGCAAACTTATGGAAATATGGGTGGACGTATTTTGAATAATCTCCAGCGTTATCATCTCCCATTATTATTATTATTATTATTATTATTGCTATAGTGCATAACCAAGCAAATTCCACTACACTTTTTAATCTATTCCAAAACTAGTAACGCTTAAGAGCAGACCTCCAAAACGCGCTGTAAACCCAAGCTCCCACAAAACAGCTGTCTAATTTGACAGCTAAAACGCGTGTTCCACTCTATTATCCCCCATTAATTTCATTTGTTTGCGGTTTGTTTTCTTGGGAGAAAAAAAAATGCGTTTCCCCCGTAAAATATCAAACTAGTACTTTCTACAGCTGAAACAACAAAATTTTATTAATCGGATTTTATCCAATTAATGAACCCAATTACGCAAATCAGCTGTGAATCGATTATTTTGCCGATTAGCTGAGGAGAGGGAAATATGTGTTGCATTAAATGGTGTATTCTAAGTGGTCCTTGGCGAATAGCAGTTTGGGTGGATGAGTTCACAACTGTTTTTGTGGAACCCTTTCATCCAATAATAGCAACCCTTACCATACGGATTATTCTGCCCTGCCTGCCGAAACCACGACCAACTTGCGAATTCTGCACATACTTTTTCCTAATGTGGCCACTTGAATACTATCGAAAATGTACATTCAGAGATAGAATTTCCCTTGTAAAGCTCCTTAAAAGTGCGGCCTGCTTTCTTTGTGAAGTTGCAGATCTATTCGATCCGGCAGATGTGGAAGGAATAACTGGAATGCCAGAATGGAAGCATTATATGCTTACTGGAAATTGGCCATGGGAGGAAGAGGAGGACGATGATGATGATGAAGACAGTGATGATGACGATTCCGAGGCCTACTAGCTTTATGGAATATTCCATAAAGTTTGATTTTATGTAACTTTAAGGTCAATCTATTTTCCATATGCACGTGTTTTCGAAAGTTGTGTACAATTTGGAAATAAAATTTATTAAATGCATTAGATTTTATGAACACCAAATTCGAAATTACTTCAATACCAAAAAATGTTGTGGCCCTTTGTGACTTGTGAACTATTTCATTCAAATTGTCTTCTTGTTAGTGCGTTTAACCTTTATTAAATGAACCAATTAATAAGCACCCCAAAAAATCGGATTCGCTCAACAGAATTTACATAGGCCCCTTCATTAAGGAAAGACACAAATCAAGAACTGTTCTTACAATTCCTTTAATATTACTCTGACTGGCTGAAGTTTTATCAAATTAAACAAGAAGTGTTAATTTGGAAGAAAGAAATTGCCTATTTAAACGGAAGTGTTGCACTTGTCAAGAGATAAAGCTACCTCCCTGCTTTATGTGAATAAAACCACGAAAATGGGAAAAAATTAATAGAAATAAAAGGTCAGCGTTAGAAAAGACGAGAAGTGCAGTTCAAATATTTTAACCCCTAAAACGCACCAGTTAACTTAAATTCGGCTTTTCGAGAAGGTGAAAGGATGGAATGTTCTTAAACTCATACCTAATTTCATATGGAAATTTTGGTATTTAGCCCAAAATTCGACCAAAGGTAGAATTGTGATGATGCTTGGTGCCAACGGAGTTACACTCTGCCTAAAGTACCTCAGACCCATAACTAACTTCGTGTCTCTTCTTAGGAAAATGTAGTCCTTTATAAGAAGTGAGGTACATAGGAATCGATTTGTAGTTAAATTAGTTAAACCTTGAAGCAACGTCAAGACTTTGTTTCGAACACAAGTATGTAGAATTACTAAACACTTATTTTGAAAGAAAATCTATGAAGTCTACTTAGATGCATTAAAATATACACTTTTGCATTCGAATGCATTTAGACTTTTGAATTGAACAATAAATTTGGTGTTGGTAAAAATCCAACAAATTTTGCCAATATTTGATCAGCCAGACTTATTTGGAGTCGTGAAATGTTAAGTGGTTTAATTCTTCGGAATTAAGAGGATCCGTAGATCATCGCTGTTAAAGTTGAAGCAGTTGAAGTCAAAATCAACCTTGAGCTTGTAGCAGATTTGCCAACACAAATAAGCCTTAACTTAACCCCAGCAATCTCTATTATACCCGAAGTTGGCCATGCTACTTCAACAATATCGGTAAAAAACGCATGATGTGAATAGCGCTCATTGTGGTTCTACATCACTGACGCAGAGCTTAGCCAGTAAATACATTTCTGGGTACTCTGATCCTGTGGCCTGTTGATAGGCTACACTCGTGACAACATTTGTTCCCCAATGTGATCAACAGCATGGTCGTTCGAGCGTATATGAGATTGCCTGGTTAAACCGTGTCAAGACAGAGTTTTTAGTTTCTTACGGAGTCCTTTATTGATTTTTTTGCACAGCGATAATTACTAATATATATATATATATATATATATATATATATATATATATATATATATTTATATATATATAACATATTGAAACATATTGAAATTAACTTTAAATTAATTGAAACATGTAAACAAAGAGAGCAGGAATAGTGAGCATGACAATAAATATTTGCTTGTTTCTGGTAAGTTAAGTGAGCCATAAAATATTCGTCATAGTCTGTCGCACGAAATTCAATTGGACATTCTTTTTACATTTGGAGCCAATTACCTATTCACTATTGTTACTAATATTGCCAGTATTATTCTCTTTCGTAGTAAAATAATTTGTCTGCTGAATCATCATATACAACGTAAATAGACTATTTAATTTAAACCCTCTTTTAGACAACAAAAAAGCCCTTGGATTAACAGATCAAATAGAAATACGCTTAATCATTATTTACATAGACGTTTTACGCAAGTTGCGATGTGTTCTAAGTGTGCAGTCAGTGAAAAGGCTGTTGTTGGTGAAGATCCGTTTACGGAAAAGTAAGAATAACGTGAACTTCTTGCAATTTTACCCTGGATTGGTAGCCTACTGTTTAAGAAACCACGAAATTGTGTGACTCAAGATTGAAAAGCGCTTTAATAGGATGCAGGAGTTGATATAACTGTCCTTGAGGTAGAAAAATCATACAAAACTACTATTTTCATAAAATTTGTAATAAAAAGCCCCTACAAATGTTCAATTTCAACAGAATATTGGAGCTTCCAACCTCTAACTGGGTTGTACAATGAGTGAATGAGCTATTCAAAAGCTTGAGGTCGATAAATTTTTAAGAACGTCTCTCAATATCCTCTTAGTTTAGAGTCGGAAAAAGCCCGTTTGATAAGAAAATTAGATCGACTGTATTATTCGAGGTGCTATAAATGTGAATTTAATAAACAGGCCATAATGATAGTTTGATTGTTAGAGGTACAGAGGCCTATGTTTGATGCCGGAGGAATATTTAAAGGAGGTGATTGGTAAGTAAGCATACATAGAGTTTTCTTCGAACTATATATGAAATGCGCCTCAAGAGCTACTATGCTACTAGGAGCACAATAAATTTTTGGAATTTCAAAGATCTCCTAAGCCAATGTGTGCGTGTGTGTGGTTCCCAAGATCGGTTCCAAATTCCAGAGCCCGGAAGTTGGACATTCCCATCGTCAGTGTTACCGGGACTTTGTTTACATTAAACCATCGGCTTCACCCCCTAATATCTATCATACACCCCTTCGCCCTTTCGCTTCCTTAAATGCGACGGGGCGAGGCAAGAGGCCCATTAAGTATGGAAAGGGGAAATGGAAGAAGGAGTATGCACATGGGATAAACAGAGATGAGTTAAAAGGCCAAGTCCTGACAAGCTGTGCGTGTGATTGAGGTTATTATGGGGACATGTTTCGATTCACATAAGCATATGCGACTCCCTACAATGTCGTTAGGCTATCGACAAAGGAAGCGCTGTAGATACAATAGGTCTGTGACATTGCCACGGATACAAAGGACATTCGTTTACGGAAAATTTACCGCATCAATTTGTTAGTAATGCGTCCTGACATTCCCTTTCAAGTTGTAGGGGATTAGAGTTAATTAGGAGGTCTCCCACAGGGAGTTTATTTAGGAAGACCTTTTAGAGCCCTAATCTTTGGTAGGGGAACGGCATCACAGACCAACTCTTGATTGAATCTCGAATTCTGTCACCCAGCTTTATTAGTTAGGATCAGGTAATAGGGTTCTTCATTATGACCTATGACCTGGAGGACACAATAGCTGTGCTTCCAACGATGCAATACTAATTTCACCAGGAAGCGTAATTTAAAATGGTTATCATAAAGTCTAATCTATCTAATTTCAGCACTAATGAAGATTAATAAATCTTGTCTTGCATCACTTTTCAGACAGGAAAACAAGTGTAACGCTTATTTGATGGAATATAGAAAATAATATCTCCGAAAAGCACGCACCTTTTTTCCTGTTTAATCATCCCGTACTTAGTGATTTAACTAATGACGTTTTGTATTTTCAGTTATTATTATGAAATGAAGTAACATAGAATAAAATAAACTTTAGAATCTCAAGTGGTTAAGATGGCTATTCATTCGCTTCATTAAAAAAGGAATTTAAGTATTCGGCCTAAGTTGAGTCAGAGAAAGTTAAGATTTCCGAAGTTAATAAGTCATGAGGGGGGGGGGGGGATGGGGGATGAGTGGATTGGCGTGACCATTAATATAACGCGGTTGATTTAAAAAATCAAGTTAAACAAGGCAAAATTCTCGTGGACTTACGCAGAATGAGAAAGGCAATTAGTCGGCGTCCCAGTGCCTCATAAGAGGGGTGGGCCATTATCACGCGTTTGTTTATTAAAATCCACTAATCCAAATAAAAAACGAATTGAACCCCCTCTGTTTTATTGTCTTGTATCTTGACTTCCTCTTTACTCAGTGGTCCGTGCCCTTCCGCGTCGTCGTTTTACCTCCTCTGGGGTTAAACCAGCGTCCGGGTTAGTGCAAGTGTTAAGTGGGACGGTCAGATAGCTTGGCAAGTTCTTTGCCCCAAAGCGTGCTAGGAAGACTTGAAGCTGATTGGTTGGGTGCAGGTACACACACTCACCTAAGCATATGCCCACCTGGAGATAACTAGAATGTGATGCATCTTCCGACTATGCTTCTCCAATTTCAACGCTCAAAATTTTAAAGTAAAACTACTTTTTTTGCCTCTTCAAGTATTACCAACCCACTTCACATAGTGTGACTGTATTTTTTTGAAAAATTTTGGAAAGAGGCGCTAAAAGGTCTTTGGCACCTTGCTGATAAAATAAATCATATTTAAAATTATGCTAATAAGATCCACACCATTTTTTTCAGTATTGATTTTTTTTTAAGTTTTGAATGCTCTGAAGAAGATAAAATGGGTGGACCACTGGGAGTATTCAAATCATTAAATTAAATGTGCTTTGTTATTGGGTAAATTATAGTCACCGATGGAGAAAGATACATCGCAAATCTCCTTTGTCAAATTTTATTTCCACTTGCGGTTTAACCTCTCAAGTACTAGAAAGTCTTGGGAATTGCGTAGTAAAATGAGGAGAGAGAGAGAGATTGCGTCTTTACCAGATCACATTGGATAGGTTGACACAAAAAATATTTTGGGACAAATTAAGAAGTAGGAAGAGCACAGCGCCTAAAATATGCGTAGTAGGGGCAAAAAACATGACTTGCAACTTGATAAACGTGATATGACAATGCGTTAGATACATTTTCAGCGGCGCCCTCAACTTTGCCAATCATTGTGTCCTAATCTCCTACCGACCTAATGACGAATCTCCTTCATCTTTACTTTTGTTTCGTCCTTCTGTTTCCGAGCTAATAATCAACCTGAGATAAAAGTCATCTGGCCCCTAACATAATAATAGTCCTATTTCCATACCCACGTATTTGTTTCGCAAAGTCCAAAGCTTTAAGTAGTGGGCACTACCTACAAGAGATCCCAGAAATCTCAAG